GGTTCTCTATAAGTATACAAAGAATAAGGGAGTTTCAACCAAGAACCTTAGCCAACAAAATTTCAAGATTGCCTTTAAACTGTTTAGTGTTTTCCCTTAGGAAGCAAACAAAACATGCAATTGTGAGCAACTTACCCAAACCTGCCAAGAGCAGGAGTGTTACTGCTATTATATTCTGGAAACTCTAAGTCAGTGCCGCTGGAGAAATCTGGGAGGAGGTCTTCATCAACAGATTGTTTCTCGGAATGCGTTATTTCACCATTCATTCCAACCAAGATGTCAAATAGTGGCTTTTCCCGTTTGGGGATGAAACTCCTAAAAGATAAAAAAAAATTAAATTAAAAACAGATAGTAATGTTGAAAAAATTTATCAACCTAACAACATTTCTAAGTTCATTAAAATCTATACTTATTAAAGACAAATAAATAATTTCAAAAAAGAAATAAACAGAGCAATTGATGAATTATGAATAAGAACAGGAAGTATAATGTACAGTAAAATGAGGAAACAGCTCCTAGAGTAATGCTAATGACTTCACAGTTTTGGTGCAATGGTGTGACTGTCTAGTAAACTAGGTAATTACTTGGGAATAAAACTAGATAGACCACCCCAGTTTGTTATAATAATAAGATTAAATATGAGCAAAAATAATTACCCAACCCATCATGTCAAGAAAATCTACATGACTGCAGGAGGAGAGGGCAATATGAAATTTCTGCTTTTCCTCTATATTTCTATGTTATATCAGTAAATTTGAAGTCATTTACCTTTGATTCATAATTTTCCTATTTGAAAAAGAAAAGTGGAGCAAAGTTTTCTCTTGATAAGCAAATCAGAGAAGCAAGACATGACAGAACTGTTGATGCAATTTATCTATTTTTTAATACAATACCTGATGTCTCGCAGCAGTTTTCTTTCCACTGGAGTTTTAAGTATTCTTTTGAGATTCTGTGCCAGTTGCTCAACAGATCTGTCTCGTGCATATTGATTGAGGGCCTTGACAAGCTCCTTCTTAATGCTTTCATTGCCAGCTAAGTAATAATTCATCTTTAAGAGAAAACAGCAAAAGTCAACTACATTACTACCAATAATTCTGAAATCAGCTCCCCATACAATTGACAGCTGTCAGTGGTTAAATATGTCATATAAAATAGTTCACTTCATCTTTGGTACACAATGGTCAATATACTTTTTATGTACGATAATTGTGGTTTTTTTTTTCTTATATTTTTAAAATAGCAATTTTATGTCACAAACTTCACCACTTATGCCACTCAAAAGTCAGTTGTTATTTAACTGGAATTTAATTAAAAGCGGGAAGTAAATATTGTCTGTTCTTTCAGTTTCGATTGTCCAAAATAAAGATTCATGTATCAGCCAAAAGAATTTGATACACTATAGCCTGCTATCAAATATGGTAGTCAAATCTTTATTCATGTTTTCTAGCAAGCATTTGAATCTTGAGTTTATCTTTACATCATTCCGGGAATTTTGTACAACAATTAACTTGTCATAAACTTACAACCATTGTGTTATCTTGGATTGAAAGAAAAACCCACTGATTGCTTTTATGGTCTTGAAAATGTTAAACATTTTTCTTCCTTCCCATTTGTTGACAAATCAAACAAGTTAATGATAAGTCAAAAGGCTGGGCGAGCAATACAGCCCATGTAATGTAATTGACGTGTAAAATCTACGAAATTAAAAGTACGGAATTATAATAATATGCATGAACAATTGAAGTTGAATCGAACAAAATGCGTGTTCATCTTTCTTTGTCTTGGAATGTGTCAAGAATACAACAGTCCAACGGAAAACGTATCATTTTGACAAATGGAACAACATTGGGGTTTGTAATCGCTTTAACAGAAATGTCATACAACTTGACCAATATCTAATTATCCTTATTTCGCTACCCAAGTGTAAACTTATGTGTTTGATGTCCATACAAAGACAAGAACGTGGATCAATAATAAATAAACTCTGCAAAACAGCGGTGTAGAACTGACCTGCACGAAGAAATCTTTAGCTCTCTTGTATCGCGAAGACGAACTCTTTCCTTCTTTTTTATCTGTAATTCCGATGTCTGCAGCTCCGGCAATGAGGACTATAGAAATTGTAGGTCCACAAGTATCTATCATTTCTCCAACTTGATTCTCGTTCATATGTCTGAGGTTAACACCATTTAAACGGAGAATTAAATCTCCACGACGAATGCCAACGTTCTGAGCCGGGCTTCCCTGCTCTACATCCGCAATGAAGACAGGACCCTTTCCGCGAACTGCAAAACCAAACCGTCCTCTTCTCCGACGCAGATCAAACGTTCGAATGCGTGAAATTACAGCGAGCGCTGGAGGGACAGTTCGCGATCGTTTTGCCAATAGGATTATTTCTTCCTTGCTTAATCCTTGAACGTTTTCCCCATTGACTTCGAGTATTTGATCACCGGGTTGAAGTCCCGCTCTTTGAGCGACTGAATTTTCGTCAACAGACAGGATGACAACAGGAGCTCGTCCGCCGACGGTAAAACCGAAAGCTTCGGGCCATTTTTCGTTCGTACTCATGATGACAACAGAAGAATCAGCTCAAATTTGAAGCTTGAAAAAAAAACTCGAGAATTTTCCTTGATGTTTTCTTTCCACCACAAAGTCGTTTGTTTATCAAAAACTGATCCTTCTCTCGATTAAGCCATCCATTAATAGCACAAACATCTAAACCAGGGTGCCAAAGTTATAACAAACTTTCCATAAAGTTTTCCGTTTTGAGAACGCCTTTCGCTTCAGCGATTAATTTGTTATCTTGGAATCCTTGCTGTTTAGATCCACGACAAGTTGATGACAATAAAAGCAAGTGGAGATAGAGACACGTTTTCGAAGAGTAGCTTAACGCGGATTGACAGGGTCGGCGACGCTAAATATGAAACCAGGCAACCAGACCCGCAACAGCGTATAGGTTTCACTGTAGCAACGAAATGTCGACAAAACCGTAAAATTTCTTTCTCAAACACAATGTTTCCTTGGATTTGATACTTAACTCACGCTGCAAAATTGAAGAATGAATCCAAGTTGTTAGTTCAAAAACGGAGACGTGATTGTTTAATCCATTCCCTGCGCGGTATTAAGTTAAAACAATTCTCTACTTCCAATTACGCTGTTGTTCGCCCAGCCAAATCACCACAATTATTCATGCTAATGGCATGACGACTTAAGCACATCCCGACCAAATTTGCATATCTTTAAAATTCTGAAATCCAACGTAGTCATCGTCGACAGAGAAAAGATTCCGAAGCTGTAGACTGCCGAACCGAAGCTCACTCTGTTCATAACAAGCTACGCTCAAAAAGAATCTTGGGTATTTTTCTAAAGAGTCCTTCAGAGTGTTTGAAAGAATTTTGTCATGGGCAAAATAAACATTCCTTGATAGCCACCCTTGACCTTACGTCATAATCTGGAGACAAAGCGTTGTAACGCAAACTCTTCATCCGAGAGGAAATGGAAGAAATGAATTACTAAAGAACCCCTAGAGTAGCAAAAGGACGAATTTCTCATTCTACGCGCTTGGATCCAGCTCTTCAACCGTGACGGAACTAAATTAGTTTTCTGCGAATGTAGATTTTGGCTGTCTTCATAGTTCTCATAATATTTATTCAGCGATCTTGTTTTGCTATGTGCTCGATACGTTTACTTAACGAAGAAAAAACTACACGATTGGCCTATGTTAGAGAAATGGGACACCCGCGATCCAAGTAAAATCGATCATTAATCGAGTTAAATATTTAATTATAAATATCTGACCTGGCTTGCCAGCTTATGTTGTCAAAAAAAAAATGATATGCCGTTCATTTGTGAATGGAAAATTTACCTGATAACTTAGGTCAATTAGGAGAAACATCATCAATAAAAATTTCGAGCGTAAAATCATTTACACCTCAAACCATCGGATGTCAGTTCACAAAAGATTTCGAAACTATGAAAAAGTCACGGTATTGTAAATGACGTCATCGGGAATGTTGACGTCACAGTTTGTGGCTCTGAGGTTCTTTTTCTCAACGAACTTAACTGTCAATTGGAAACAACCACTACCCGATTTAAGTCTAATCATCAGTTTGTCGGAAGGCGAGATTTCACTTGACCTGCTGATCCGTTGCTGAGAAAAATTTCTCGTTGTTAACAGAGAAACAGAGGAATACAATAACGATCGACTGAATTGTTTCTCCATGTTTGCATCAGTTCATCTCAGATTCAACGAAGTTTAATTTCCTCTCAGCACTGTTTTTTTTTTGTACGTGCCATGTTCAAAGCAGAGGAAAACCCAGATTAGCTTAAATAATTTCTCCGTGGTAAGAGGTCAACTTTAAGCATGTTAACTCGCGTGACCCCCTCATTACGCATTTATCACAAAGTCTGGCTTCTTCTTTTTTTAATGTCGGAAGGCCTTTTTCCACTACTACATTTGATTTTTTTTCATTGCAGTTTAGAACACTTTTACACCCGTCATCCATGATACTATAACGATTTCTTCAGAGATGAAGAAGGAAAAAAAAGAAGGATTGTCATTAACATGAACAATGATAAATCATTTACATCTATTACGCTCATGCCAACCTGCACGTCTGCTGAAAGTGTTAGCAAAAATATTTTTTCTTTATAAAAACAGTAGCGCACAGTGGGAGGTGTGCAGCATACTTCCTCGTGAGACCAATTCTAATCGTTACTGGACTAACGTTACTAACGTTTAACTATATGTGTCGCTCACGAGTTCCAGTGCTAGAGAAGAATTTGTATTATAACGAAATCATGCCTTAATTTTGGCCCATTATTCATAGCTAATCACCAGTCTTAAAATCTTTGTTTTCCTATCTGAGGATGGCCAGAATTCCTATTGCCATCGTAAATTTCTGATTTCTAATCGGAAAAATTTTATTTAAGTGAGAAGGCTAAATGATTAAAGTGGCCACGCGATTTCAAGTGACAAAATTAAATTTTTAATGAGCTTTGTCACTACACAGACAGGAGACTAGAATAAACCGAAAGAGATTAAAGAAGGCTTTGAGGATGGTCTAGATCCCATTACACGGATTTTTTGCTAAAAAAAAAAAAATAGGGGCAATTTTCTTGAAGAACAAACCTGACCCACGGTAGTTCCTTTTCATGATGCAAATTTCTTGATTGTCAGTTTCTTGAAACGAAAAGCGATTTTGTTTTCGATTATCTAATCCGTCGTTCAATACTTCAACACTCTAATGTCCCCATGAAAGAAAACTAAAAGCTGCTTATATGCTATACAGAACTATGATGAGGTTAACAATCTTTTTCACTACATTTTCATCTTCGCGGGCGCGCATAGTAAAGCAGGTTGTGCGCGCGGGCAGGCTTGTTGTCGTGATGGTATTAAGAAAACGTCAAAATCTATTATGACGTCATGAAGACCGCTCTTTTACAAAGCAACCACTGAGGTGTTTGCACTTACAGAGCTACTCGGCAAACAGCTTCCTAATGTAGATACTTGAGTAAATCTAGACAGCCTAAAAGATCGAAGTTTTTAATCAACAATGAGAATTTATCTTAAGAAAAGAATGTGCGCGGTGGATGAACTATTTTTGCCATGACAGAGTCGGAAAAGGATTCAAGCACTGTCACAGAAGGTATGTGCCTAACATATCCGCAGTAATAACCATAAACTTTTCGCTGGATGGTGTTAATATCCCATTTATGGAAGGTCTTACGCTCGAGTCAGTGAGATTCTCCGAGATTTTGTTTACAGAGATATATATTTTCGTTGTCTTAAAATTGAACGAACGAAAAATTTGGGAACTCTTCCAGACGAGATCAAGGAAATAGCTACGTTTTACCAAGTTGTACAAAAAGTTGAAAATTGTTCATGACTTAAAACAAAGCAAACACTTATCTTAGGTAAACTAATAAAACAGAATAATTGATTCAAGGGTCACTTGAAAAGAAACCGGTGCAACTCTAATGCTTGTGTATGATCGAGCCAGCACGGAAACAAGATGTGCTTATTTCAATTTTTCATTATAAACTTAAAAACAAAGCATTTGATTACAGCGCATCCTGCGATGCCCATCGGAAGCACTTACAAGTTTGAAACAGTTAATTTAGCATTTCCACTCTAATAGATCGGCATATCATCTAATTTATAGCGACGTTGTTTACTTTGGAAATCTAATGGATCGAGCCGACAAAGCTTATATTGAATCGCCAGCAGCTAGGAAGAAGTAGCTGAGTGTTTGCTGCAGGCATAAGTGTACCGGTTTTGATCGATTTTCAATGATGTTTGTCCCTATTAGAAACCGTTTATGACAAATCAACAGAAAACATCTCGTAATTTCGTTCCACTTCACCACAAAATGATTCCTAATATTCATTTAAACAGAGGTCTCATCAGTAATCCCCGAATTTGATTTGATCATTGTCAACTTGTCAAGAGAAACTTCACGAGAAAACTTTTTTTCTTTCAACTTCGCAATAAACATGGTAAAAGCGCGCTTTATCTTAACGTTTTCGCGCGGACACAGACAGTTCTGACACCACTTCGAATTCCTAGGGAACTAAAACCATTCCTAACCAAGTGAGTCCCGGCGACACTATCAAAACGTAAATAAAGTTTGATTGGCCGTGAAAACGTAGCAACTTTGATTTTTCAATAACTATAGGCATCACTTTATGCCCTTATATTAAACTAAAATATTATATAGTAATATTATACTATCACTTGAAGCGATTCCGGCAAATAATTTTGTTTTAAGATATCTCGCCCTAACTTCTAACCATTGTAATGTTGCTTCTTACTTTCAGGTGCGACGCAAAACAATCGGAACTTCTTCAACAGTACTTCAGAGTTTTTCAAATGGTAATTTTATAAAATTTATTACTTTCTTCCTCATTTCATTATATTTCTATAAAAGATGTTTATCAAACTCTATCGTCCTTTTCTTTCCATAGCAACTGGAAAGTGATTTTACCTTTTATTGCTGTAATTCTACTGTTCTCTGTTACCGTTTTCACGAAAAAGGACATCACTTTTGCAGTCAACATCTGGGTTTTTCCAAGTAAGCACTGCTTTTATTTCATCAAGCAAACATGATGCACTTTTAGTTACTTCAGAGCTAAATCAAAGCCAATCCCGCTCCCAGAGCTTCCTTCACTCGTGTCCAGCGAGACTGACTAACAGCTAATTCCTCTTTCACCAATAATGATCGTCTTTATAGGTTTTGCTGTGCTCATGGCATCCTATGTGTGTTCAGTTCTCAGTGTGCAAAACTGGATTCCTGCTCTCCGACATCAAGGTATGCGAACAACTCAAAACAACTGTTAGAAATTTCTTTAGCTACTTGAGTGTAGTATTTTCAACCATTACTCTCTCCCCATTCCCCTTTGTGTGTTTTTAAATTTAGCCAATCACGTTCAGAGCGCTTAAATTTGAGTTAGAAGTTTAGATGTGAACATTCACTTTTTTGTGCGTTGAGTTTTGTCAGTTAACAGTTTTTCTTCCTTACGCCTTGCTTTCGTTTGGATTTTAAGGGCCTCTTATTTAAACGAGATCTAACCCAAACCGCGGTTTTCCGCAAGCAGTTGGCCTCGGTGATTCTCCATAAGAGGGCTGATTTAATTTAAATAGATGTCCGTCTACTTTTAGGTTTCGGCCTGTTGACACTGTTCGAAAAAAACTGATTATTAGATAAAAGGTTCGGCTAAATTGAAGAAGGCTTAGAGCGTGGTGACGGCTAAACTTTGTTTAAATAGCCGGTCCCAAGAATTTTGGAAGGATCTATTTTAAGCCAAATATTGATTTCAATTTAGTACATTTATGACACACGCAAAAACAATACTTGGTACCTCGATTTTTCTTCAGACTTTTGGCAAAATCAAGGTCCGCCATTTTATCCAGTTGTCAATGCAGCCCCTGCTCCACCCCCACCACCAAGCTACCCTCCCCCTCCTCCACCTAACACCATAAAAGGACATAAGGGCCAACGAATCGACTGTAGAAAACTGTCTTGGGAGCAACTCAGCCCAGACCTCCTCAAGCAAGACACCATCTGGAAAAAGGTGAAATTGAAACTGCTACAGCTGTGTACATATAGTTTTATATCAAAATGTTTTAATTCGCTGTTATACCGTATAGCTTTGGTAATGTAAAAATTGTTGTTGTTCTGGATCAACACTTGCTGTATGTTTCTTCAAAAACACTATTAATTCCCCCATAAAAAAAAAATGAAAAACATTTCTAAAAGTTACCGACTCCTTAAGGGGAAAGACGGGGTTTCTTTTTCATTATATGAAGAGACTGTTGTCTATGTTTTAGGTTACCCTGAGAGCAAACAAGTAATTTGTGCCGTCAGGAATTTAATCCAGATCTTACACTGATCCCCATATGTATTTCATCTCCTTCGTTTAACTCACTTAGAATAACGCTTTTCTCTGATTGAACTTATTCCTCATTTAGGTTAAAGAACATCTGCCTTTGGAAGGTATTTTTGACTCTGATGATATAATAAGGGAATTTTCTGTCACGTCATTGTCAGGTGTGTAATCATGTATTTTCAAAGCATGCTGACACAGTAAATGATTTTATACGCGCTGACCAAAACAAATATGAAGTTCCTTGCATACATTGTCAAAATATGAGACTATAATTACTTCTTGCCAGCTCGTTGTCCCAGCCGATATATTGACAAATACAGAGTTATGTGACACAGGTTAAAGAAGCTTGATGATAGCTATAATCTAAAAAAAACCTTCGCTTCCCTTGAAGTCGTTATATGATTAGCTGAATTTTTCACGCATTTTGATTGGTTGTTACCCGTGATCTATGAGAAGATTGACGCATATATAACGTCACTGTCAACAACTTTTCCGCACGGAACCATGGAATCTAATAGAATCTATTTATTAATTAGTGCCAAGAGAATATATACTCTTGTCAATACATAATATGTGCAGTGCTTATTTTTCAGTGTTCCTTCTTCCAAGAAAAAATTAACTGTTGATATTCTCTTGCTTCTTGCCAACATAATGACAGGAAAACCACAGCATTGTTTCTATAACTAGCATGTTATGTAATTTTATTTCAAAGGGAGTTCACTGAAAAAGACCAAAAGAGAAAATGCAATGGACGAAAAGAAGATTTTCAATGTCTGTAAGTACTTCAGTGTAACGAAAAAAAAAAGTATTATGTAGCAGCAAACTAACTCCATGTTAAGCAAAAAAGGTGAAGAATTGAATCCATATATGTGGACCTTAATGTTGTTTATTGAATCGCCATTTAATGTTCCTTGAGTGCGAAATTAACATCTTTGATTAAGGTGCGTTGTGAAAGAGTTAGCCAAGATAGATTTGCACACAAGATGGATGGGACGAATTTGATTACCACAAAAAATTCCAGGAGATCTTTTTTTCGGGAGGAAGGAAGATTTCGCGTGACCTACTCAAGAAAGGCCACTAAGGAGGCTATTTAAACCATGGTCTACTGTCTATTTCATAAATGAATTAGCTTACTGATATAGTTGCTGATCTATCACAGCGATCATTTTGACGCATTACAAGCTTAAAGCAGAAGGCGTTAAACAATGCTTGATGTCCGGGACCACACAGCTTACATCTGACGTACTAAGACAGGTGTTGGCATTTGCACCGGATGATCAAGAGGTAACAGCTGTGTAGAGATATGCACATAAAAAATGACAAAACAGAATGATTAGATAGGAGTGTGCACACGTGCCCTAACTGAACAAGAATGGTTTAACGGATCACAAAGAATTGGGTATAAATGTTTTAGTCAGCGGCTAAAATGAGGATGAAAGTGCAAAACCCCTCTGTTTGGTTCTTAAAAATTCGGTTCATTTCATTTTTCTTAGCTTTAATTGGTTTGTGTGGACATGTTAAGGGCGTTTATGATTCAATATTTCATGACAAGTGACTGATTATGGAAACTAGAGGCAATTTTTCTTTTTTGCAAAGATTCACATTTACAGATGAGTCTTTTTTGCAAAGACTCACAGTTAAAAATATTTTTATTCATACAAAAACTTGAATCTTCATCCAAATGAATTTATATAACCCTGTCGGGCTACTTCACAACTACCATGTTCGTGCACTTTATTAGGCCCGAGCTTTGCGGAAAATGGAGAGAGAAAACGGGATTTCACTTGAGCCAGCTGAGCGATTTTATCTTCAGGTAACGGTATTATAAGAAAGCATATAGTTAGCCAGTTGAATACGTTTAAACGTGAGAGGTAAAGGCTGTTTGCTAATTGGGATTTATTTAACTTTATTACGCATTAAAAGGCAGGGCCGGGATTCATTTTCGATGGTCGCGTTATAACAATCTTCCACCTCTGTAGTGTTTATTGTTGGTTGATTGAAGGCAAGTCAAGACAGAAGCAATTCATGCTCTAAGGCAAAACACTTACAGACAAAACACTTACAGTAATTCATCCACTTTCCCCGCTGTTGGGAGAGTGGATGACGCTATCCGCTGGATAAATCTCTAGCCTACGGATAGCGCAGTATGTTTTGGTAACTCTTATCCGCTGGATAGCGTTATGCGACTTGTGAACAACTGGGCTCAAGAGTATGAAAGTATATCAGCAAAAGGCGTCACTCACACTGTTTGATGGTAATGTATCTGAAATGTCTCTTTTGTCATTCCTAGGTTGCAGCGACTGTGCCTTCCTACAAAGCAAGACTCCGCACTGTTTTACTCAAAGCGCAGTTACAAGAAAGGATCGCACAAATCAAACCAGTAATAAGTGTATCCTTTTTTTGTTTCATATGATCCATAACTTCTCTTTCTTTCACTTTGATAAGGCCTTGCCTTAAATTGATTTACGTCACTCCTGAAAGATTCAAGTCGAATATCGACTGATCAGAAACAGTGACGAATTTCTCCCGCTTATGAAAGATCGCAGTTCGTTTTCTGTAGCAAACTTTTTGAATCTACGAACATTCATGACAAAAATTCACATTTGATTTGTATTTCAGCATCTTGAAACAGTCATTACCGCCTGCCAAGAGCTTATGGCCTGTGAAAAACTCCCAAAATTCATAGAGGTACAAGTAAAATGTGCATATCTAAGCAAAGTCTTTTGTTGCACAAACATTTCATGTCCATTTACCCACATCTATCATTCATACTTATTCTGCCAATTGTAGATGGTCTTGACCATGGGGAACATCATGAATGGTAGCCAAACCTCCGCCTTTAAGATAACCTTTGTTACAAAGGCAAGTTTGTTTATTTTGTTCCACTCATAATCTATTTTTACACGCCCTAGTTGACAAAGGAACTGAAAGCCGGCTGACATACCTCTTAGTACACGCACAACAATCTGTATTCACTTCGCGTTCATCCCAGGCAACTTATACAGCAGCTTTAAACATCAGTATATTAAATTGAGCATTTTTCGATGGAGTCTCCTAAAAAACAAAAACCAAATTAACAACAAAGGCCAATCAGAGAGACTTAAAATACCATTACGAGCCAATCAGAACTCAAAGGCAAAACACGCAAACCACCTAAAACGCGAGAAAACGTAGGTGATCAAGTTATGATTGTTAAGAATGTGACGCGAGTTTTTTGACCCAATCAAAGAGCAAAGGAAAGCGAAACCAATGCAAGCCCGGATCACTTCCGACAATAATTGAAAATTCCCTTCAACCATTTTTTTCCCAGCTGATGGATTACAAATCATCTTTGAACAAGGCCACTTCTATGTTAGACTACCTAACGCGAGTTATCATCACAAAATGTCCGCACATCGCCGCTTTGGGAGATGATCTCAGACACGTGGAAAAAGCATCAAAAGGTGAGGATATAAAATCATTTTCAACTCACGCTATAATTTGACACAAGAGATTATCTGTCACTGGTAAGGTTTTTTCCTTGTAACTAGCTAGCATTTCATTCCCAATTAGTCGCGTACATTGCGTAAATGGAGCTTGACAGATTTAAAAACAACATTGATGTTCAATTGGAGAACGAGTTCTACGCCTTAGTTACCGTTCTCTGAAGCTCCACTACAGGTTACATTCCAGGCGATATGATTCTTTTGTAACCTTGTTTTCCCGACTTTTCAGTTCCATTTAATTCTCTTGACAAGGAAATATGCGAGCTGTCCGCAGAAGTTGAGGTAAAGCAATCAGTTTCCAGTTATCATTTGAAGTTCTTTGATTTTAAGGCGTTTGAAGCTGCCTTGTTGGAACTTTCGAATTCTTAGATGTTCATATATTTCAATTCACAGGTCCTTGAGGAAGACGTAGAGAAAATAAACAACGATAGTGTAGAGGAAGACTACTTCAGTGCAAGTATTGGAGTATCCTTAAAAGCTCAGTATAAGACTTGGACTGCTG